CAGTTCTGAAGACATTGCTCGTGGTCAACATTCGGTTAGTTTGTTCGTCTCAGTAGCTACAAGTGGTTCCATCCATTGAGCAATATCTGCTACAGGCCCCCCGTGAGTCAGATGCTGTTGGGCACAAACACTTGTCTTGCATATTGTCATCCTGCATTGCAAAAGTGGGGTTCTCCCATGCCCCCACTTACTGTTTCTATTACAGTTGTGTTGTGGACATCACAAAGCAAACAGCTCTCTCATTCTTTTTCAGGTTTGCCACGTGGCATTTCCCCTGAAATGACTGTACAATCATTTAATCTGTTTCCGCTTATTGGACTTCCCACTATTTCTGGATCACAAATAATATAACACTGTAGGCTTAAACACCTCTGTCTTCAGATATTTGCACTTAGGGCAAGCGTTTCTGAGGGTCCCCTGGAAGTGATATATGCAATTAAATATGTGATAGTTGCAGATCTACTGTCTGCCAAAACCCTCTATTTCATTTTAGAGTCCCAGAGGATCTGGCAATGCCCATTTCCTTAAATCCCTGCCAGCATTGCATCTTCTATTGGTTTCCTATTGCTGCTGTGATAACTTAACATCACGTGGTTTTAAAACAGTTTTTAACATCTTACAGTGCTGGAGTCAGAAGTCCCACACAAGTCTTAAAGAGCTGAAATCAAATTGTGCTGCCTGCCTTCTGGAGGCGCTGAGAGATTCTGCCCTCCCATCTCCCAAGCCAGCCAAGACCCGTGACCAGGGTGGGCTTTCTCGTGGCCTCTGACACTGACCCTTCTTCTGCGCCGCCCCCACCCCCCGCCCCGCTCCATTTTCCGAGCCCCTTACAATCATACTGGTTGCACCCGGATAATCCAGGCTACTCTCGTTCTCACCAGGGCAGTGATTAGCAACCTTGTCTCCCCTGGCCGCGTAACAAGTGTTGTCCACAGGTTCCAGCCAGCAGGATATGGACATCTGGAGGCCAGACCTGCGCCTACCACATATATTAGCACCTATTAAATTGTTTCCATTCTAAGTGAAAGCATGATATCCTGCTCGGGTGAGTTGCATTTTCTTGATTATTGGAGAGGCTGAACATCTTTTTCGTGTGAAGAGGCAAAACAATTTCTGTTACTCTCTATTATCTCTTCCTGCCCTTATCTCTCTTTCTATCGGATTGCCTTTTTTGTTTGTTTTCAGTTAAGTTATAAATTCCTTGAGGGTAGGGACCTTCTCATGTTCACATTGGCATCCCAGTGCTTCCATATACAGCCAGATTCAGAGAGGGGGCTTGTGCCTACTAGCCCTCCCCATTTATTCTCTTGCTATTCTGCTTGGGAAGAAATAGCAGGACACTTCCTGCTAAACTGAGTTGAGTCTGTGTCTAGGAGGGCGTGGTAGCCAAGACAAAGAGTGCCTTGTGGTTTGCTTACAGGCCCATGGACTTTCCAGGCCATTAGAGGCTCTGGGGTCAAACAGAACCAGTGCCCAACCCCCAACACAGCCCTAACTTGGGTGGCCCTTCCACCCTAAGTCTTGATTTTCTCACCCAGAAAAACAGCAGTGGTGTCATGTAGGCATTTTAGGGTTGCTGGGAATAGAAACACAGCTTTTTGAGAGGGAGGTGGTGTGGGGCAACCTTGTAGGTTGGCAAGGCAGGGGTCTGGCAGGAGAGCCAGGGCTTGGGCGGCTGGCAGCAACAAGCCTCCCAGCCCTCAGTGAATCTTCGCGCTCTTTCTCTGGGTTCTTTCTCTTGTGTTGTCTCTTGATCTCACCTCGTCTGTAGTCACACCACTTGTCCTCTCACTGCCACTGCTGCCGCTGCTTTTGTCCCCACCTCTAGGTTCAGGTGTGCACACTTACACATGCCCAGGTGTCCCCAGTCAGGTACTCGTGCCCTGCGCCCACGATCCCACCAAATAAGGAAACCAAGATAGTCACAGAGGCCAGAAGCATAAAAAAAAAGAATTAATTAATTTACTCTACAGAAGTCCCCTTGCTGAGCTGCCGCTCTTTGCCACGGCCTTTGGAGCAGCGGGTAGAGCCATGTGGGGGGCAGAGCCACTAGGTACAGAGAAGAGCAATTGTAGGTCGCTTTCCTGACTGGTAGGCAGTGTGCTCTGCTGTAATACTTTTTGAGAAAGGACAATAAACAGCTAAATTGCTCTTTAATTCTTTTGGTGTCAGCCCCGTCTCCTCTGGAGCTGCTGGTGCAGGTGCACACAGGGCCTGGCTCGTGGCAGTGACTTGGGCAGCAGGCGCTCGAATACCCTTGCTTCATCCAGTGCCACTCTGCTCTACTGTCAGTGAGCAAAGTCACTGGGTTGGGCCACTGTCTGCGGGCATGTTGGTTTTCTCTAGGTTCTCTGGTTTCCTCCCACCTCCCAAAGGTATTGGTGTCAGGTGCACTGGCGTGTGTCTCCACTGTCCCAGGCAGAGTGAGTAGGTGTGTGTGTCCTGCCGTGGAAGGGTGTCCCATCCCGTCCAGGGTTGCATTCTGCCTTGAGTCCTGAGCTGCTGGGATAGGCTCCAACCATCTGAGACCCCGAAGTGGAATAAGCAGGTTGGAAAATGAATGAATGAATACAAATTATTGAATATTTAGAAGTGCTTTGGGTCTTTATCTAGAAGTTCGGTGGTATTTTCTGTGACCAGAAATAGGACCTTGGCTCCTGTTTATATCAATTAGCCATGGTAAAATTGGTTTCCCTGTTTGTTGTTCACTTAAAGTTGCAGATCCTAAGAACCTGTTGACAATGTTAGCCGAAGACTTGGGCCTCCTCCCCATTACCCTTCAGAGGAGATGCAGGAAGGTGGTGTGCAGAGGGCCCGATGGTCTTCCGGGTAGGGTGTGCCTTGCTTGGTAAACAGAGTAGGACCTCTGCTCCAAAGGGTGATAGGCAGGACATCGGTCACAGGCTGGAGTTGCAACAGGGCTATATGTCCATCCCCTCCAGCCTGCCATGCTGGTCAGAGCACACACCACCCTCAACCAGAGGATCCACTTTCCAGGGACAGAGCCCCATATTCTAGGCTGTCTGCTCAGGGCCCCTGCCTAGCCCCAGGCTGCACTCACTCCCTGGCCGCAGGGCCCCTAGAAGGAAGGCCCAGTTCCCAGTCTCCCTGTCCACACCCATTAGTCTCTGTTCACAGAGCAGAAGTGGGGACCAGCCCAGCTCACTGAGGCTGCCCACCCAGGTCTTCCTAGGGCTGGCTTCACATCCGCCTTCAGGATGAGCATGCCCTGGACTTTCCCTTCTCCATACCCTTTTAGAAGGTTCTTTGGGACCCAGAGTTCCTGCTTTAGTTTTCTCATCCACATGCCTCTGAACTGCATCTGGACCCCTGGGTCTCCCCAGGGGTGGTGAACGAGTCCCTCTACTCGGAACTAGCACTACAACCTTGGCCTCTCTGAGCCATTTCCCTGTCGGCAGCACGGGGAAGGGGTTCCTACCTGCCGTCTCCTGGGAAGATCCTGAGGAAGACAGGGCGTGAGGAGTCCATGGCGGTGGTGGCACGAGGGAACCATCAGTGATTGTCCTTGTCTTGACTTCCCCACTTCTCCTGCCCTTCTTTCCCTCTGAAGTCGCCAGTCCCCATGTGCCGTGGACAGAAGGCTCAGGGCAGGATCTCTATGACCTGAGCAGACGGGGTGAAGGAGGAGTCCTGGAGCCCTCAGTGTATTTTGCAGGCTTTTATAGGGATTGACCAGGCACACAGCAGGCAGGGTCTCCCAGCCCCCAGCAAGTCTTCACTCCTCTGGGCTCTCCGGCCTTCTCTCGTGGCCTCTGCTTCTCTGCTCATTTCGCCCTCTCATCCTGCTGGCGTCCCCGTGACGCCGCCCTTATAAGCACAGTGTGAGCCCAGGTGAATCCCATCTACCTATGCCCACACCCTACTCCAGGTGCCCGCCATCAGGCATGCATTCAGGACCGCAGGGATCCGTCATCTATCCTGATGGTGGGAGGGCAGAAAAGCCTGATACTTTTTTTAAAAGATTTATTTATTTATTTGTTTGTTTGTTTGTTTGTTTATTTATTTATTTATGCAATCACTGGGTACAGTCAGAAGCGCGGGAGGGTGAGAGAATTCACCAGAGCCAGAGCGGGGAGCAGAACAGGCAGAAGGACCGAAGTACACTGCTGAGGGGAGCAGCGGGCGGCAGGAGAGGTCTGCGCGCCATGTGGGACCCTCCCTGGCGGCCGGGGATCGAATTGGTGCTGCAGAGGCCGCAGGCAGCTTCTCAGCCCAGCGCTCAACCGCTGCGCCACCAGGGGAGGCCCCACCTGATACCTTTTATTTACCCTACACCATGTCTGACCCTGACGGTGGGTGCAGAGCTGAGAGCTCTCTCCTGACAATAATGGTCACGTCCCATGTCCTCGCTCTTCGGGACCCAGGACTCTGGTGGATGGAGACTGACTCCCCATTTCTCTAGCCGTAAAGCTGGCAGCCACACGGCCCAGTGCCAGCGGCAAACCCCCTCCTTCTGTGGAAGGTGGGAGCTGCCTTTGCCTGGCAGGCCTGGACCCCAGACCCGGGGCCCTGAGGAAGGCTCCCTGCCAGGCAGGACTGGGGCCACCAGTTGCATGTCTTTGTGGCCCTTTCCCTTCAGCAGGGCCCCCGGGGGCCTGGCTGCCAGCCCCTGCTCTGCAGCTGCAGCAGCCTGGAACTCATTAGCTCTTTTTATTAAATCCATCTGCTCTGCAATGCCGACTGGGCCCACATCTCTGTGCTCCCACCCCGGGTGAGTGCCAGGGAGCCCTGCACACAGGCAGCGATTGTGTGAACTGGGTGTGGCCTCCTGGAGGCTGTGTGGGTGAGGCCTGGCCCGGAGGAGTGGAGATGCTGAACAACGGGAGCTGGCAGGACTTGGGTGTGGGGGAGACTGGGGAGCCTTCCTGAGCACCCTCAGCCCGTGGGAGACTGCGGGATGAAATGGGGCCTGCCCTTCCAGGACACTGTGGGTTTGATGATCTGCCTTCACTGATGAAGCGCTTGCTCTTCCCTCCCAGGAGTGCATCATCGATGAGGACTGTGGGCCCGCCAGGTACTGCCAGTTTGCCAGCTTCGAGTACACCTGCCAGCAGTGCCGGGAGCAGCAGGCGGTGAGTGTGCCCGCACTTCTGGGCTGCCACAGCAGGCCATGGGGGCCCAGAAAAGGGGATCTGGGGCTCCCAGTTGGCTCCAGAAGCCCCTTCAGGGAGCTACTTTGTCCATGCTGGGAAGAGCCTCTGCATGACACCCAGGGGAGCTGACTCGAGAGAAGCTCTCCTGGGAATCCCTCCTCAGGCCTGCTGCCACCCCACCGCCCCTTGGCCCTGGCCCCGCACCTGGCAGAGAAGGGGAGGGAGCACAAAGGCAGAGGCCTGCTTCCTATCGCTTCCTCTGGGCAAGACCAGGCCGGGAGACATGGCCAGTGACCGCTGCAGCCTCCCAGCAAGGAAGAGTGTAGCCTCTCCCCTTCCTGGCCTGCACCCCTTGTCCCCCAGATCTTGCTCCTGATCTTCCCAAAGGGAAAAGGCAGAGCATGGGCCAGGAGGAGGCCTGAGAACATCCCTGAGGGACACTCCACAGGGAAGCGTGAAGCCAGGGGCGAGGGCACTTCCTCCACCAGACAGATGTTTGGACCCAGCCAGATGGGCTTACAGACTTTCCTTAGTCCGTCCTCAACATTAAGAGCACATACAAGGCCTCCCCGGTGGCGCAGCGGTTGAGCGCTGGGTTGCGAAGCTGCCCGCGGCCTCTGCGGTGCCGGTTCGATCCCCGGCTGCTCCCCGGCCACCGGAGGAGGGTCCCACATGGCGCGCAGACCTCTCCTGCCGCCCGCTGCTCCCCTCAGCAGTGTACTTCGGTCCTTCTGCCTGTTCTGCTCCCTGCTCTGGCTCTGGTGAATTCTCTCACCCTCCCACGCTTCTGACTGTACCCAGTGCTTGTATAAACAAATACAAACAAACAAATTAATTAATTAAAAAAAAAATGCCTCTATTAAAAAAAAAAAAAAAGAGCACACACAGCAAGACGACAGTTGAGACAGCAGAGGGCGTCTTACTAGCCGGCCTGCCCCACCCGGGGCCATCGCTGAGCACGGCCGGGCCACCGTCCTTTGTAAAATCTCCAGTTGGGTAGGAAGACTCAGAAGCAAGACTCCCCCGATGCCGTTTCTCAGGGTTCTCCCCCTTCACATCCTACCAAGCCCAGTATCCCCTCACTTCTTGCCTCCCACTGGAAGCCAGCAACCTCGGGTCTCAGTTTCCAGCTCTCTGCAGTCGGGGACGGAGATTAGCGCCCTGTGTCTCCACACCTCCCAGGCAGGGGTGGGGGGCGGGGACTCGCTGGGCTCTCTGGGACCTGTGAGCTGGGGGGCTAGGGTGTCTCCCGCCTCTCCGCAGCTCTGCACTCGGGACAGCGAGTGCTGTGGGGATCAGCTCTGCGTCTGGGGTCACTGCACGAAAACAGCCACCAAAGGCGGCAATGGGACCATCTGCGACAACCAGAGGGACTGCCAACCCGGGCTGTGCTGTGCCTTCCAGAGAGGTGGGTGGCTCCCTGCTGGATGCAGGGCCAGCTCTACCGTACTGGCCTCCTGGGGCCCTATTCATGTCAACCAGACTATTTTTTAGGGTCCCCCATCCTGGGCAGACTCCTAAATGCTCACTCAGGTATCTCAGCCCTGTCTGGGGCGGAAGTCACTCGGTCTGTCCGTCTCTCTCTACCCCTACCCTGCTGATGCCTCAAATAGTCAAATTCCTTCAGGCTGCACAGGTCCAGGGAAGGAGGGCCACCCCCAGATGGGTGGGACCCCAGCAGCCCCTTTCCAACCCCACTCCACCTTCTCTAGGCCACAAGGGAGGCCCTGACCTCAGTCCTGACTCCTGTGAATGGTCTCTTCTCCCTGCTGAGGATGGCCCGGGCTCCCTCCCACAGGTGCTTCTGAAAAGCATTCCCTCTGCCTCCCCCACCTTCCTAGTTCCCCCAGCCCCTGCTGCCCCAGCAGGTTTCTTCAAGATGGCCCTCCAGGTATCCCTCCTCTGGGAGCTCCAGTCCCTCCTGGTCTCTCACTTCAGTTAGACTTGTCAGTCTGCCTGCCAAGGCCCTTGTCAGCTCCTGCTGTTTTTTCCTCTTTGTCTACCACTCCTTGGCTCTTTGGGACCCTCACTCCCTCAATTTCTCCCACTGTGCCTAGCCCCAGGCCTTTGTTGTTGCTGTGCACCTACACTGATCTCCTTAATTTCCCCAGGCCTTTGACCTCAAAACCCAGCACAAACCACTTCTTCCAGGCAGTCCTCCCTAACTGCTCCAGCCCGCCTGGTTCACTCCCTCCTGAGCCCATGCTGCCATTTTGCTACCTCTCATTCCACCTGTGGGAGGCTGCACCTCTTTTCTCTGCTCCCTTCCCTGGTACCTGCCTACATGACAAGAGTCACACAGGGGTGACTCTTGGCCATTCGCAGGTCTATTGTTTCCTGTGTGCACACCGCTGCCCGTGGAGGGCGAGCTGTGCCATGACCCCGCCAGTCGGCTTCTGGATCTCATCACCTGGGAGCTAGAGCCTGAGGGAGCTTTGGACCGATGCCCATGTGCCAGTGGCCTCCTCTGCCAGCCTCACAGGTGAGGACTCACCTGCCCGCCCTGTAGGGGAGAAGATCCCATGAAGTGCCACCCAGTCAGGACTCGGGAGCAGGAGTAGGGGGAGATGTACATTCAGCTTAGAAGAGGTTGAATTTGAGATAGCCTCACGTCGCTGGGATGGAGGGTCCACTAGCAGTCAGGATGTAGGACTGGGGATCAGGAGGTATGGCCAGGGGTGCAGATGCCTCATGAGTGTCCACTGGAGTGTCCCAGGGAGCATGTGGAGGGAACCCAGGGCCAAGCAGAGAAGAAGCTGGCGGAGGCGACCGAGCAGGCACAGAGGCGGGAGGGAAATCAGGGCAGTGGCAGGAAAGCAGGATGGAGACAATGCCCGTGGCATCCCTAGCCACTGAGACAGTGCGCAGCATCAGGGCTGTGACTTGGCCGATCACTGCAAGCATATTGTACTGAACCTCTCAGCGACCACCGCTCAGCCCTCTGCCCCCGCAGGATCCAGGTGACTGGGCAGACAGACAGAACTCCCCGTGGGTCCCATGAGTCCCAAAGCTCCCCCCAGTCTCAGCAGATGGGGAGTTAGGTTTCACCTTATGGTCAGGGCTGTTCCTGCCTGGAGACCTGGATGGGCAGGGGGCTTCAGACCCGGCGTCCTCAGGGACTGTGCCTGGAATGCTGGGCTGGAGAGACAGTCACGGGAAGTCAGGCCTGCAGATGGGGAGGAGGGCGCCCCTCAACTATAACACATGCTCCAGAACTGACCCTCCCTCAGCCATCTCCTTTAAGGTAGGATGCGGACATGAAGCTAAGGCTCTGTTGGATGTTAGAGGAAGTGGCTGACAGTGCTTAGAGACTGACAGTGCTTATGCTTCAGGCCTGCACCCCATGCCCCCTGCTTAAAGCCCAGTTTGCCTCCATGGGGAGACACAGTCCTTGACTGAGCCCAGTCCCGTCTCTCCCCAGCCACAACCTGGTGTACGTGTGCAAGCCAGCCTTTGTCGGGAGCCGTGACGAGGACGGAGACAGCCTGGTGCCCAGGGAGGTCCCCGATGAGTACGAAGATGGGGGCTTCATTGAGGAGGTGCGCCAGGAGCTGGAGGACCTGGAGAGGAGCCTGTCCATGGAAATGGTGCTCGGGGAGCCCGGCGCGGCCTCCAGGCTGCTGGAAGAAGAAGAGATTTAGAGGCGGGCTCTTCTGCGGGTAGATGTGCAATAGAAGCAGCTAATTTATTTCCCCAGCTGTGTCCTCCAAGGGCGAGTTCACCAGGCTTTTTCCATGGTCTCTTCCCAGTACTATACCCCCTCTGGCTTGAAGCAAATTGAGATGCTCTGTGCCCATCCAACTCTCCCAGACCGTACCCCACACATCACAGTCCTGGTGCCTGGGGGCACACAGGGGTGTGGGAGGGTGAAGGCAGAGCAGGGCTGCTAAACTGGGCCAAGTATTAGCACTTTGCCTATACTGCTTAGCAGATGGCACATTTCCTTTTGTTCCATTGCCTGGAGAAGAGAATGCAGGGAGGGAAGAGGATGCAGAATTTCCCCATAGTGGGTTTTGGGATCATGTTGAGTCTCATACATGAGAAGAGTGCCCTGCTTTGCAAACATAAACCTGGGGAAAATGCAACAAAGTTTCCAGGCAGTTCTTCCCAGGCCTAGCGAGCTGTGCCTTCAGCTGCTGCAGATGTACTGTTCTGCTTGGTACATGCATCCATCCTTTCCACCAGTCGCTCAGCTCCTACCTCTGTGCCAGAGCAGCAGTTTCCTGTCCATGACTGATTCAAGCTCTCACCACAGCCTGGTGAGGATCTCTGAGGCTCAGAGACCTCAAGTTGCTAGCCCAAGTCACACAGCTAGTGAAGACCAGAGCAGGATTTCACCAAGGTGTGACTCCAAGTTCAGTTCTCTCTTCACTATTCCTCACCAGCCTCAGTGCCACCAGAAGTAACCTCTAAATAAGGAAGGATGGAATTTTTCTTTTTTTGAGGCGTATCTGGAATTAAGGTCACACTAGTTCACGAGTCCCTGTAAGATTAAACTTCTACTGTTAGAAATGGCAGCATTCAAGGGTTTGACCCTGTCCTCCATGGAAGTTACCTCAGAAAGTATGTGCCTGGAGCATTATGTACATGAGCTTGCTAGAAACAGCACTTACGTAATTGTAGGGTAAAGATTAGAAATGAAATTTGCAGACTTACTTACCAGCAAGTGGTCTGAAGACTGTTATCAACCACATGGGGAAAATCAGAGCAAGCAAGGCTCTGTGAAATATGGTTGTAATATTCAAACTGAGAGCACTGGACTGTGCTGTTCCATAGATGATATTCCCAGGTGCCAGGGATTGACTCCATCATGTATTCATCCAGAGTTATTAAATTTTAAAGCTGCCCATGATTGTATAAGCATGCTTTCATTGAGTTTTAAATTATGTATAAACATATATGTTGCATTTAAAAATTAAGCATAAATCACTTAAACTATTGCAGTTCTTGGACATTTTTTCCTTTTGATGTTGAATAAATATAAAACCCTTTCAGCCAGAAAAAATAAAATTACCTACTTTGTCAAAAAAAAAAAAAAAAAAAAAAACAACCCTCTCTTCCATCTAAGTAAATTTTCCAGACAACTGAAGCACACTTCTTTAGCATCAAAATATTTTAGAAATGTTAACCATTTGGGGATCAATGCTTCACTGTTTTCTGAGTGAGTATGACCCTTTTCACGGAAGTCTTCTTTAATCATATCCAGTTCTGAGCCATAACGCAGTAGACTATTTAGGCTATAAAGTTACTATATATTAAGATCAGCTAGCTGAGTGGAGACTCCGGTATTGATAAACTACTTATATTAACTCATTGAGTCTTCATTGAATTCAAGAATATTTTCCTCATATAATGATGAAAAAATAGAGGCTTAAAAAGACTGATAGAAGTAAAAAAAAAAAAAATTCAGTATCTAGTATAGTGAGCTCAGGATATAGTGATAATGAAAAGATCAAATATAGGGTTGTTCCCTACTCAGTGTCAAAAATCATTAGGATCGCTCTACATCATATGAGTCAACAGATATTTATGGAAAGGCTGCTCAGAACCAGAAGCTGTGATTATGTCAAGTCGATCCAGACAGGGCCCCGCCCCTGAAGGCACAGTCTAGTGACAGAGATACACTAAGCCAAACACCAACAGAGCAAAAAGCAGTGAACCCAGGTCATGGGAGCTGCACAGGAAACTCAGCCTGGGAGAGCTGCATGGAAACCAGACCTGAAGATGGCAGTTTGTCAGGAGGCCAGAGGAAGAGATAGAGGAAGAGACATTCTGAGGCACGGACAGGAGGGAGGGAGAGAATAGAAGGAGGGGTGGCATATAGGGGAAGCTTCAAGTCAAGACAAATTTGAACAAGCATTTGGAGAAGAGGCTGAAAATTATTTCATTTAATAAAAAATTTATTGAGCACCTATTTATGTCAGGCCCTATTATTACTATTAGGTGCCAGGGAGATAATGTTAAATGAGATAAAATTTGTCATCATGGGCACAAAAATATAAGAACATGAGAGGCTTTGCAAAATACTTGGCAGAAATCCTCAGAGAGAAGCTGATATGTCTACTGTACTCACCATTCTAAATGGAACGTGGTCAGGCTTAGGTGAGATTTTGATACTTGAATCTTATTGTCTTTGCTGCTCTGGAATCCACAGTTCCTGCCAAGGAAGCCATGGAGGATATTGTTATTTTGAAAGCTAGCAAAACTCAGGGGGGGAGAAGGGGGTGACCTAGTTAGCTGGTGGGTCCTCGACCTCACAATTATATCTGCAGGACACCACTCAAAATAGACCATGTGGGGAGAAACAACAGAGCGTATTTATTTACACAAGGGAGTGAAACAGGGATGGGGGGCAGGAGGTATTCGAGAGCGATCGAGAGCTGTAGGGACAAGATGGCAGCTGGGTTGCTGAGGCAAACCTGGAACCTGTGCACATGGTGGGGAATAAGTCGGCCTAACATACAGAGGGGTGGCCTGCTGTGGTCTGAGGGCAAACCTTGGGAGTCTGGGCGCACATGTGGTGCTCAGGGCAGACTGTGTCACCAAGCCTGGGAGCGGGGGCTGGCCTTGGGACCTGGGAGTGCAGGGCTTAGGTGTACCAGATGTTCCAATAGTTTTGGCTGCTCAACACCTGTTCCCACCCCTTTCCATTTACCCACCAAACCAGGAGACTTAAGGCTAGAATTTTGCTACTAGGATGGCCACAAGACCCAGTTCTGGTCCAGGACTTGTATGGGGAAGGCTGCTAGAGTTTCTGGGAAGGGTCTCTTTCCCAGAGTGACCAAAGAGGCACAGAGAATGAAAGCTGCTGCCGTCCATCACTTCTTGTTGCTCACCTCTGAGCACAGGGGTTTGCGCTGTGCTGTTTGGCTCTGTGACAGCCATCTTGAGACCCCATGATCATGAGCAATGCTCCTGGGTGTTAGCAGGGCTGCCTTCTCTGGAAGTTCTGGGGAAGAAATCAATTCCCTGCTTTTTTTTTTTTTTTAGTGCCAAGAGGTTCTTCTCATTCCTCAGCTCTTGGCTGCTTCTCATCTTCAAAGACAGCAGTTACAGGTTGAGTTCTTTTTTAAGCGTGCCATCTTTCTGGTTCTTCGCAATTGGAAAAGGTGTTCCACTTTTAAGAACTCATGTGATCAGATTGGACCCTCCTAGATAATCCAGAATAATATTCCCATATCAAAGTCCTTATCCTTAGTCACATCTTTAGTCCTTTTTTTACAGTGTAGGGTAAATTTTCACAGGATGAAGGTACAAGGTGTGAACATCTTTTGGGGATCATTATTCTGCCACCACAGAAGGATGTCTGAGTCCTCCGTGACATTGAGGAAGTAACAAGTCCTGCTGTCAACCATATCTGGACTCCTTTTAAAAGAAACCACCAGTATTTTTATAAAGTTGCTGTTAGCCTTCTGTTATTTGAAGCCAGAAGCATTTCCAATACAGGAGCTACTTGCAAGATGACCAGTCAAGGGGAATAAAGAATGGCTTTATGAGTCCCACTCCACTCACTTTACCACCCCAAGGCACAGTTCTGGAAAAAGTAAAAGATTAGAAAGTGCAGTGTTAGCAGGTGTGGTGCAGCCTCTGAGTCTATTCCCTGACCTTCACACTTACAAGAATGGCTGGCCTGCCAACCCACAGGTTTCAGAATGAATGGAAAGAGAGGATGGGACACAAACAGCTCCTGCCGACTCCCAGAACATTCCCTCTTCCTGTTCAGTACCTCCTTTTTCTCTTCCTGGTTTTTCCAGCCTCATTAGTCTGGTTTTGGAGTGGGGGTGGGATGGCAGAGGTGGAGAGAGACATGAGCAGCTTGCTGTACGAAGAGGATGGGCTGAGAAAAGGGGAATTAGGCATTTGTATGTTCTCTGGATCTCCTCCAGATAGTCAGGAAATGCAACAGGATTATTTTGAAATACTTTTTGGTAGATAACCTAGGTTTCCAAGTTCAGAGGATCAACAGCTGTGGAGCTAGAGACCTTCATACAGGGCTTCCTGAGAGGCACATGCCAGCAGCAGCAGCATAGGTGACCTATATAACGAAGACTGGGAGGGGGTAATTTTGGAAAATCGCAGTATTTGGATGACCCGTTATTCTTCTTCTGGATCTCCCATGAGGGGGAGCTAGATGCTAAAACCTATAGGGGAACTTTCACAAAAACTTAAAAACCTCAAAATTTGTATGGAAGCGCTGATACCTCAGTGATGGCTGTGCAGAAGCTGTAGGAGACATGGACTGTTACCAACCTACCAAGTATAGAAGAAGAAACACCAGGAAGAGATGGCTGGTTGTACTAGCCAGGAAAAAGGGGCAAAGATTTTAATACCCTCACCCCCAGAGACATAGGTATGGAAGAAGTGACTCATTTTAGAGGACTGTCTCTTGCCAGCAGGTTGGAAACGACAGTCGTTGCCTAAGAGATGGCCAATGCTGTGACCTGAAGGGCATCTACTGTCAAGTCTAGAAGCTCAATAGTGACCAGGTGATACTCACCATGACAACCTGGAGTTTTCCCCTCTTTCTTACCTGTTTCACTATCCTTTGAGCTGTTGCAAGAAAAGGAGGGAGGGAGAATAACGTCCTTGCCTTCCTTCCCATCTATGGACAGTGTGTGCATGGGGGCGGGGAGGCATGGGGGAGAAACTTGAATCTAATGGCTGAAATGTTAACATGATTGTTGAAACAATCCAAAGTGACTAAGGTTATAGCTTCTGAGAGTATGCGTGCACTTCCAGGGGGAAACTGCATTGTACAGGACAGTTGGCATAATTACTGGAAAGAGAACCATTACATATTTGTATCTCAACAAGCTGATATGCTTTAATTGTCACTTATTAAACTGAATACCAAGTGGGTCCACTGTACTGGGGGTAGGGGCAGGTTGGGAGAAAAGAAAGATGTCCTCACCTTTCAGGCAAGGCTGTAGTTCCACCAATCATTTCCGGTCTCGTGCATTCTCAGGCTCTGACCAATCAGAAGCTGTTTCCGCTGCACTGATGAGCTGGTGGCAGGAGGCAGATGCTGGGGAGGGAATAATGAGGCCACCTAGTCATGGCTCTTTTCTGTTCTACTAGTCACACATACTTTGAGGCACTCTTCATTTTGCCAAGGATTCTTGTTTCTGAAACAATCTGAAGGCCAAGTTTTGAAAATTAGCACCTATCGAATCAAATGACCATAATCCCTCTCTTCCCCAAATGAATTGCACAGAAGCAGCAGCTTCTGATTTCATGTACATTAACATAGGTGACTTTATTTGGGGCACAAATTGCTCTATGTGCCTGATTTTCTAGTCCTCTAGAAAGTTACACATGCACACAATTTTGTATTTAGGGATTTATGGTCTGAGAAGACTTTTGACTGCTAGCAACAAAATTATTGGTATTCCAAAATTACACAGAATTGTTTGATTCAGATTAGCTTCCATTCTATGTACGCTAGACTATAATTTGCAAGTTGTAATAATGAGTTGGTTATTCTTTTTTTTTTTTAAAGATTGATTGATTGATTGATACAAGCACTGGGTACAGTCAGAAACGTGGGAGGGTGAGAGAATTCACCAGAGCCAGAGCAGAGAGAACAGGCAGAGTAACGAAGTACACCGCTGAGGGGAGCAGCGGGCGGCAGGAGAGGTCCGCGCGCCATGTGGGACCCTCCTCCAGTGGTCGGGGAGCAGCCTGGGATTGAACCAGCGCTGCAGAGGCTGCAGGCAGCTTCGCAACCCAGCGCTCAACTGATGCGCCACCAGGGGAAGCCCGAGTTGGTTATTCTTAACACTGAACAAAGGGACACAATTCAGAGGGACTACAGTTGGCCAATTGGAAACACTGGCCTATGAACCAGATGACTTTATTGTATTCCATACATTCACAGGTCACTTTCAATAACAACACTGCAACGCTCTGATGTTGTGCGCGCATTTCTATTAAACCACTTTGTAGGTTTGTACTCTCACCCAAGGGATGAGCCACAATACAATTGTGGCAGTATTAGCAACCGAATTTACTTGACTATTTTCTAGTTTTGGCATTAGTTCACCATTGTCTCAGAATTTTAAGGCATCCTATTCCATTATAGAGCATCTGAAACCCTCAGTGGGTTCTTCACTCACTGTTCTATCTCATCATGACTCCTATCCCATATTCTACCTCCTTAGTTTGAGAAGCAGATCTCCCAAATAGCCAACTTCTGAACCGACTAGCTAAACAAGGCATGGTCCTAAAAGCATAGCTTTTGTTTCTTTGGACTGATCACCCCTCGTCTTCCACAACTGCCCATAAATGCAGGTACTTGTTTCTCACAGGGAGTGACTGATTGACACAAACCTATCTGCCCCCTGGTAAAAATGATTTAAAACCTTGGTGGGACCTTGGAGAGCAAGGTCACAATTTAGTGCATGTGGCCTGCCTCAGCTCAGAAGTCATGAGTGATCACAGGCATCTCTGCCATTGGGATTTGAAACCTGCCTGCAAGTAGAAGCAGCAAACACAAAATAGGGCAGAGGGCACAAAATGAGGTGCTTGAGAATTTTGCCATTTACTCTTACAGGAACAATAACCCAAACCAAACCATACAAGGCACGTGAGCCACGGTGTTCTGTCTCTTGGTTTAAAGGTGATCACTCGATTCTTTAAATCTGAGCGAGGTTGACACACACCAGCTCCCTCACGGAAAATTCCACAATCCATTCCCATTCCACAAACCCATTTTACAAAGTTCACCATCCCTTTTAAACTGAAATATTAAAGTGCAACACTGTTTTCACCTTATCAGGCCCTGAAAAACAAGCTTTAATTTGTTCTTTTTTATAATAAAGTATTTTTTCTCTACTCCTGGTTATTTGTAACATGCCTGTAAGTAGAAGCAGAAACAGGGCAGAAGGCACAGAATGAGGTGCTTGC